TGTGTGTGTGTGTGTGTGTGTGTGTGTGTGTTGACAGCTCCGAACTGGCTGCACGAGGACGTCCACAGGCTGCGACGTATAAGTTGGTTCTCAATGTATAGGTTACACAAGACTATGTTGTCTCTCAGTATCGGATAGCCTTGATCCAATGACAACGATTGTAATCTGCCAGTTCCGCATATGATTCGCGTTGTCTGATGGTGATACCTGTGTCGTATCGTTAATAGTCATATCATATATATATATATATATATATATATATATATATATATATACTGCAACCTTTCTATATATATATATATATATATATATATATATATATATATATACCTGCAACCTTTTCTATATATATATATATATATATATATATATATATACCTGCAAATCTTTCTTTCCATTTCCACTTCCACCATCAACTCTTCTACATACAGATACGGTTAAAATTGAAGTGTTCTTCTATATTTTTTATCTGTTTACTATTGGGTTTATTTATTTATTTATTAGATTTAATGATTTTCATTAATTTTTTGTATAAATTTGTGCACAAATTACTGTTGTAAAAGTTTAAATAAGCAATCATCTTGAGACCAGGAACGGATTACTCCAGTTTACATTGATTCTTATTGGGAAAATATTTTCGGTTTACGAAAAATTCGGTTTACGAAAAATTCGGTTTACGAACAATTTGGTTTACGAACAATTCGGTTTACGAACAGGCTTCAGGAACGAATTAAATTCGTGAACCCAAGTTCCACTGTATATATATATTCATGCATATAAGCAATTAATGATTTTTTTTTTTTTAGTCAGTAGAGGTGCTTGAGTAAACATCACAGTTTTGTTTTGTTTTTTTCTGTTTTGTCTTTTTTTTTTAAATCATATAATATTTCGAGATCGTTAGCTATTATTCCTATAATAATTTTGAATTTACGATTTTAGATCAGAATTTATAAGGGTTTTCCTTATAGTGGAGAAAAGAATGTTTCTATCGAAAGACATTTCAGCAATAATTCTAAACGTTTAAATAAGCGAAAATGTCCTGCTACTGATGTACATTTCTGAATCTTATACATTACGATAACACTTTTAAAACGAAATTTAACTATCTGGAAAATACTATAAAAGATGCAAAATGACAAAAGTAAAAAAAAAATGGTGTAAAACAGAAAACCGACATCTTTCCGCATAGCGAAAGATTTCTTCCAGATGTAGACATACAAGAAAGATGTTTTCCAGATGTAGACATACAACGGAAGCCTCACCCAGTTTTCAGTCAATGATTACCCCACGTTGCGTCTACATTCGCGTTCGCGTCGGTGTTAGCCACAAACTGGGAAAACCCCGCTACACATTCACAAATAAATGAAACGTGAAAACAAACGCCACGACAAGAATTGAGAAATCGAATCTTGTTTCGATGAATTGTTTTATCCAGAATTTCGCTTGTTCGAACTTGAGGCAAGAAGTAAAAAAATTCACTACAGTTTATTATATGAGAAAACTTTATAATTTATAATATTCGAATTCATGATAATATTTGATAATTATATAAAAATTCGGTTAATTTGCAGTGTAAGACACAGTGTAACATTGAAAGTTCGGATTCATCCGCGTCGCGGGCAGCCATTACGGGCGTTGTTTGAATAGATTCACTGCAGAATAGCTATCAGTGTATGTATCATTGCGCAAACTGAGCGTGTCTAGTTCTCATGCGCAGTAACCTGTTCCGAGCTTAGATTTCCGTAGTCTTTCGCGTTTAGCTTTCCGCAGCAAATGTAAGCAAATAACTAGAGTAATGGCTGCCGCCAACGACGCGACTGAATCCCAAACTTCACTGTCCATAACTCCAAAACGGTAGATTTTATCAAATTTATCAAGCCAGATTCGAATGGAGTATGTACAATTACGCATAAATGTAAAATTTTGGAAATTTTTAATGCGAACTAAGCGCGGGTGTTACACTACAAATTAACCAAAAATTCTTTATTATAATCTGAATATTCTTCCTACATTGTTTTTATCATAAAATCCCCGCCGAGCCATTTTTATATTATATCGATTATTTTTTCTATAGAAAAGAGTTTCCATTTTGACTCATGAGATATACCTGATGAAGGCTGGAAAATAAATCATCCGAAACATTATGCTGCAACAGCAAGGAAGAGGTCACTATAACTTTGGGATGTTTGACTAACATACATTATTGTTTGAACAAATGAACCTCTTCCTTGCATATAGTGTGAAACCAGCACTCCTTCTCCAAGGTGAATGCAAAGTTTAACAGCGACCAGCAAACAGAACTGAATTTCAGACTTTTCTTAATTCTATTCTGTAAGACAGTAGAATGATCACCATGCTAGTTCTTGAAACCAGGTTAGATTCTTACTTGCTGCTCAGTAAATCAGGCCTCGTTCCCTTAATTGGTTTGATCCAAGAAATATCACGAAATTCATTAGGCACTCTCATTGCAATTAAATGAGAGTATTGCTTTCGGTCTTATCGACAGCTTCCGCTTAAACCAACGATAAAATATTCCAGCTGGGCAATAGTTTTCAAAATCTACGACGGAGCTAGTGAAACTTATTGCCATAAAACACAGAAAAAGGAAGAACTACATTTAACAATATATCGGTGTGAACTGTATCAATGATATTTCGTTTGCGTCACTGCCTCTAAGCTTAATGGTTCCTCTCATTTAGAAGCAGCGAATTAGCAGAACAAAGAATTGCTCGCCTTAAAGATGATCGATCGCCGACGAGCGCATATTCGGCACTCAATGACTAAGTTGTTTTGGACAGTAGAGTAAACTAATTAAACCTTTCAAATGTCTCTGGAATTGGTTCAGGGATAGAAGACCGGTCGCCGTCGGTAGATGGCTAAGTTCGAGAATGGCAACACATGTCAACATTCTCCGTTTCCGGACGGCATTTAAAAGCGCTGGGCGTGAAATGTGATTAAATACTCTTCCCATGTAGCCAGTAACAAAGGAAGAAATCTAGTTTCGACATTATCATCAGACACCACCCCCTGCTGTGGTGTGTTATTGATGCGAGAATAAGGTAAAATTAATCGGTAATTTTGGAAAGTCTCGCGAGAAATGAAAGCTGGACGGTTCCACCGTCGACTGAATTTGATGTACGCTTTATTATGATGAAAAATGATAAGCATCTGAAGAGGACGGCCTTCTTTGCTGACAAAGATTCACTTTAGAATACTGAGAACATTGGGTGAACAAACAGGATTTCTGTAAATGGAAGGATTAATTCGTTGTAGTCATACCCATATACAAAATTATACGATGCATAACAAGCAAATTTAAAAGAAATGTACCCAGGAAAATAAAATAACATCAAATGTAGGTCGCAGTATTATACATATACGAGCAGGTTTTTTTCCACTTTACGTTTCATAATAATTATTGAAATACCTATATCAAAGGACTATGTATAAGTTGTAAGTTTTTTTTTGTTGGGGGGGGGGCACTATATGTTTTTTATTTAATCATTTTTAAATACGTAAATCTCAGGATTATATATACGTTGCACGTCTGTCTATAGACATATTATGTTTTGTAATTCTTACGGAAATACCTAGATCTCAGGATAAGTTGCACGTCTCCCTTTTAGGTATTTTAACAATTACAATTATTATTGCACTATGCAGATCTCAGGCTTGGCACGTCGATTTTTTTAGTCATTAACGTTTTACAATTATTACTGAAATACGTGGCTCTCATGATTATGTATATGTTTCACGTCGTTTCTTTTTAGTTACTTCTTGGAATGAAAGCAGCGATAGCACCGACCCAGAATCCATAATAAGCATTCATAATGTTGAATTAGTAAATATAAAGCACTTCAGATAGCTAGATGTATAGATCAGTTATCACAAATTTAGCAAAGGAAGGAAGGAAATTGGACATAAATTAGGCTGCGCTAGGAGTAGTTTCGCCCAATACCGCAAGTTGCTGCAGAACCAAAAGATTAACCGAAAAACTTAAGTCATCTCCTTAAAAGCCTCGTCAGATCGAAACTTTCATATATATATCACGCAGGGCGCTGAATTCGTTCAGAAATATCTAAGCTGTCTGCTGTAGACAACCGCTTTCTCGTTGCAGAAATTTGTTAGATCATTTCTTTCGACATATTTGAATTGCGTGCGCGATACCTAATGTAGTATGGATTGTTGCTACTACCTTTTGTGAACAGTACTTTAACGTCGAGTTTCTTCCGTCTTCTTTAAAGTAGTACTTTTAAAGCGTTAGTAGGGTATAGGCTTTAAATAGCCGTTAAAATAGTAAGATTAGAAAATAATGCTTTTTATTTTTAACTTTTGGATAATAGCCAAACGTAGTACGTAATTTTCCCTTACCTTTTTTTACAGTGGAAGATGATCTGTTAAGTTTAATAATTATTTTCATTTTAAAATTCGGTGAATTTTTGCCAAGCGTCTCATATGCTTTCATTGACCCAAAGGATCGGGCAACATTAGACAATAACAGAAAACATGTATTGTTGTTAATCCCCTCACGAGAAACAGCATCCTGAGCGACAAACAGTACGTATTACACATCACTAGATCTACTGCTGATGTCTTTACCATCATTACGCGTGAAGTGAAGCGCTTGATAATAAACTCATCACAAAAGTGATGGCCTTAGATATCTCAGTCCTTTGGTAAGGTGTGGCATAAGGGATTGCTACACAAACTCTCTAGATATGAAACCTCTTCAGTTATCAAGTCTTTCCTTTCAGGTACGTCTATGGATGTCGACGTAAATGACTAGCCTTCTGAAGCCCACGAGATCAATGCAGGTGTCTTCACAGAGATCTCTCCTCACTCCTACCCTCTTTTTGTTTTATATTAATGATCCGCTTAATAAAATTCTCCGATCATTACTAAATATATATTTAGACGATACAACGTTTTATGGGTGCACCTCCAAAAATCTAGATGACAAGAGCCTGAATGTTGAACTCTGACCTAGACCTTACGGGCTTACGGGCACATCACGTTGAAACATTGGTTCCCGTACGATCACCAAAGTTAAGCAACACCGATCCTGGTCAGTATCTTGATGGATGACCGCTTGGGAATGCCAGATTTGGGAGTTTGCTCATAGCTGGGACCCTAACAGGTGCTACCACCCCGATTCAGGGTCGACCTGGGAACAACAGCAATTAAGAGGTAGTTCAAAACCACCAATCTCCCGGCCAGAGGTCTTGCTGCCGGATGTAGTTTATCCAGGATTATGCTGTAAATAATGCCTAAAGAAATCAAGGTTAAACAGCATTTCAAGAGACAATACGAGATAAACCTGCTGTGTGACTAAAGCCATGAACATCATTCCTCCAAGAGACAAAAAATGACTAATATGATACTTTTTGCAAGCACATGTTAACCTTTAGTGTCTCCTGCCGAGTTTTCATATTCGAATACCAACATGCTCATCTGTCAATAAAGTTCTTTTCTATCCTCTAAAATCCGAGTCTACAATATTAAAAAAAAAACAAAAAAAAACAAGATATAAATCCTTCTGTTGCAGAGATTTTTAAAACGTGGAGATAAGTGTTATATCTACGAGTATAGTATTTTGAAATTTGATCTTGAATATATTTCATTTCATGGAAAAAAAATAAAACGTGTAATTTTAGACAAAAGTAACGCAATTCATGAAAATTTAAAAAAAATATACGATGGTGGAATAAACTTACCTCGTCGCCGTCGTCGTCGTCGTCGTCCGTGTCTGCAGCAACGGCTTTATCTTGTATCTAAGAATTTAATTTCTTCTTTTCTGATTACTTCCTTTATGATGATGATGTTGATGACTAAGTAGACCAATTCTTACATGGAAGGGTTGATGGCAGTGACTGCATGGTAGTGTTGGAGGAGGACAACATTTATTTTCTCAAACCTTTCTCTCTTGTCGTTTGGCTTCTTTTTCTCTGCTGGTGGCTTGGAAGATTTTGCTTCGGATGTCGATGATATTCCGCCAGTTGGTACGATATTGTGCATGTATTTCCAACAATTTAGGTTCAAGTCTTTTCCCTGATTGTGCTCACTGAATAAGACTTGACGTGGAAACCTTGACACTTCCATTCTTGCTACATGTCCTAACCATCGAAAATGGTGTTTCATGATCAGCGATTCGATGCTTTGACTGCTGACTCGTTCCAGGACTTCGTTATTAGTCACATAGTATTTCTGGGAAAGTTTTTAAATTTCATCTTTCAACACGGAGAAAAGAATTAGCGTGATAAAATGCCGTTAGAAACAAAAAAGGGTTTGATATCCATCCTTTTATATGGCAGTGCTGGACAATCTCCCCATAGATGAAGAGTAAACTGGAGGCAACATAAATGTGGTACTACAGAAGGATACTGGGAATGGAGCGAGTAAGCAACAAGGAATTCATAAAGAAAATGGCAACAACAAAAAAACATTTATAGTCAGACTCTGGAAAACGGCAACTGAAATTTCTTGGACATTGATGAGGAAGGAGGGCTTAGAAAACCTAATCCTCACAGGGCTTATTGATGACAAGCGAGATAAGGGTAAGCAGCGAGCTACCTGCCTGATGAGTGAATGAATGGTGGAACATGGAGCGGGAGGATTAGCAAAGGGAGAAAAACTACTAAGAGTCGCAAGAGATAGGGAGTTTTGGGAAGCAATGATCCCATGTCCTAAAAGGACACGACACAGCGAAGAAGAAGAAGACGAAGAAGAAGAAGAAGAAGAAGAAGAAGAAGATAACTTCCTCATATTTAGACCAAATAACTCAGTGTTGCTTGCTGATCTTAATTTAATATAAATCTATGAAAATCAACCAGATGTCAGAAAGCCAACGCAGTCACTTACCAACTTGCTCCTCTTCTGAAGCATCCTAGCATTTCCATAAGCACCAAGTCAAATCTCATCAACGCCATTTTCCTACCAACGCTGACATACAATGCCAGACATGACCCCTTAGAAAAACCCTTGAGGGGAAACTGATCACTTGTGAGATGAAATGACTGAGGAAAGCAATGAATAAGACCAGGTGAGACAAGATCAGGAATGAAGCAATAAGAGATATGGTAGGAGTAATACCAATCATACAATACCTCGAACGACAGAGGATCAAGTGATTTGGACATCTCACATGTATGCCTATCAACCAACCAGCCCTACGAGCATATACCCTCAGATACTCTGGCTGGAGAACGAGAGCCAGATCAAGAAGACGCTGGAGCGACATAGTGGCTCTAAGATTTTGACATTTTGCTATTTATCCTTAACCCTGTTCTGCCATCCATTTACTCAGGCTCGCTAAATATGTTATTCGTTGTTTTCCGCTACTCCTCTTGCCTTCAATCAGTCTTGTGAGTATCAGAATTTTCAAGCCCTCTTTCCTCATCATGTGCCCTAGAAATTTTAACTGTCTTTTCCTGATGTTAAGTATAAGTGTCCTTTTTGTTTCCATTTTCTCTCAAACTTCGTCATTGTCCACATATTCAGCCTATGAAATCCTCACCATCCTTCTGTAGAACCACATTTTTATTACTTCAAGTCTCTTCTTCATCTTTAAGAAAATTATCCAGCATTCAATGCCATAGAGGGGGACAGTTATCACGTAACAATTCAGTACTCTTTTTCTTTGTTTCCAACGAATTTTTTTTTCTGTTTCTTAATACTCTGCTTAGCTTTTGAAAGGCATCTTTCGCTATTCCAATACGCTTTCGGATTTCAGTGTCGCACTTTTCATCCTCTGATAAAACACTTCCCAGATATTTAAATTTTTGCACTTGCTTGATTTTTGTATCTCCGATTTGTAATTTGCATTTTGGACATTCTGTCCTCTTGAAGCTGATTTTGAATCCTTTCTTCTCGCCTTCCTTTACTGATTTTTGTGGGAGGTTTTCAAGTCTTCTTTCCGTGTTTTCCGTGTTAGCAGACAAGGAAAACCTACGGCTGTTATATTAAATGTAAATGGAGGGATCTTAATGTGCAGATAGTAGTAGTAGTAGTAGTAGTAGTAGTAGTAGTAGTAGTAATAAATTTATAATAATAATATGTAGCAGATAAGAAATGCAGACTGAACTGTCTACCACCACTGTTAACGGTACCCGCCCCCGTAGGTCAGAGACGGCGTCTAGTGTGCTGTCTGTAAAAAGAAAAGCAAATGACTGTCCTGTCAGAACAGAGCCGATGAGGACCGCGGGATGTCTCGGTATGAAGAAATAAAATATCTAGAAGCTCCCCTACGAAACAGCCGGGGCAGCGAGCGAAGTAGTGTTACTTATACAAATGATTCGTTCTGCTAGCCAACAGCTAAAGTTTTAGACTACAAAAAAGCAGGCGAATTTGCTGAGAAGAAACAAAGTGCAGACTGTCAGGCTGAGCGTGTAACGCGTTTGCCGTATTGAGTGTTTGCCGTGCTTCCCGCGCTGAGCATGTGACGTAATTGCCGCGCTGAGCGTGTGACGTGATGTCGTGCTGAGCGTGTGACGTGATTGTCGCGAATACACATGATTTCTCTCTAAATAGGAGTTTTACCCAAGCCAGCGTCACCTGATATTCGTTCGTCTTTGTTTGTGCTTCCGGTGTCTCAGCTACGTTCCACCTTTAAGTCCTGTTCGTCTTCATCTCATATATATACGAACAAATTTCAGAACACAAATAAGGACGAACGAATTATCTATCTATCGATATATATATATATATATATGTGTGTGTGTGTGTGTGTGTGCGTGTGTGTGTGTGTGTGTTTGTGTGTGTGTGTATGTGTGTGTATAAAATTAAAAAAAAACCCTCATGAATTTTAAAATTGATATAGAATGATAAAAAATGCAGTAAAATAATCAGTAAAAATGTTTTGAATTTACCGAAATATGTATCCATATAAACAAAACAATTTAACCCCTTGAAGTTGGTCTCAGATTAGACTTAAAGTACTTGTGAAAATAAAAATTATTTGAAAGATAATTTTGGTATTTTTCTTAATCATTTTTCTATGGTTACCAAGAAAATGATTCATGGACTCAAAAGGATTAAAACAAAAAATAAATAGACATAGTATATTTAAATTATTTAACAAAACCTGTTTGAATATATATATATATATGTGTGTGTGTGTGTGTGTGTGTGTGTGTGTGTGTGTGTGTGTGTGTGTGTGTGTGTGTGTGTGGTCATAATAATATTATATAAATGTGCAGATATTAAATATGAGACAGAAAGAAAGAATGTTTAGACTGAAAAGAAAGGCAGGAAGGAAATGTAGAAAGAAAGAAAGAAAGAAAGAAAGAAAGAAAGAAAGAAAGAAAGAAAAAGAAACGATGTGTTAAAATGAAATCTGTGAACAATTTATAAAGTAAATTACTTCTAAGGGCGCCCGCTATAGAACCAGCCCGTTTAAATATTGCATAAACACATGCATGCATAGATATATTGGTAATTTAATAATCCTACACACGCACGCCGTATGTGTGTATGCATATGTATGTATATATGTATGTGTGAGTGAATGAGAGAGAGATGGTGAGAGAGAGAAAGAAAGAGTGGGGAAATGAGACTTGTAATATGCTTGATAGCGGTAAGTAATATCCGGGACATGGCCGTCCTCATCACAGCCCGCACCAAACCGACCTCCCCGTTACCATGAGCACCAGACTCCACCTTCCTCTGCATCAATCCTCTTCCTAAATCTTTCCTCCCCGCCTATCTCTACCCATTGCTGTGTTTTCGATCTCCGACTTGGGGTTTTAAATGTCAACAGTGACATTTACGATAAGATGCTCCTAGTCAGTTACCGCTTTGAATTCTACTTCTTTCTTTTCTCTTTTATTTAACATTGCCATTAATACTACTTCTATTACAACTACTACTACTATAGGTAGTAGTATTGGAACTTGGTCTTGTGTACCTAAATCGAACAGCAGACCACTCAGTCCCAGTATCTGTTCCCGTTGCCAATACTCGTTTAATTTAATTTTCCACCGAGAGAATAAAACACTGTTACATCTTTTTACGACATTGCACACTGTGTTCCATTATCTGTTTACGGCGGGGTTTCGTCGAAGTAGTCGATATCAGTATGCAGGTTTGATGGAACAATCCTGGAGG